GTTCCGCCGAAAGAATCAATAACTCGACATGAAGTTGTTCAAAGGAATCAATTAAAAATTAATGAACGTAATAAGTATGGGAATATAACTCATATAAATGGAAATGCTTCTATCGAAAAACTAGTTCAAGCTGAAAGACAACGCCGTCGTCGTCGTAAACGAGACGACTATTATTCTGACTTTGAAGTAGATAAACGTAAACAATCTGAAAGACGGGAAAATTTTAGCACTCCTCAAAACAGTTCTCAAATTGCTGTAAAAAAACTAGTTGATAATGACTTTACAAAAACTAAATCGACTGAATCACTAGACACCACCAAATCTCGAATCGTTGGTCGAAATAACGAACGTGAAAATAATAACAAAAGAACTAAATCAGATGCGAGTCTTAATAATACCATAAAATATAAATCTAAAAACGATGCCGTTGCAAACCTTAAACTAGGAATAGAGGTTTCAACTCCTAAAAGAAATTATCAAATGATTGACGGACGACGAGTGGCAGGAAAAAGTATAGAAAATGTGGAAAATATAAAACCTCGTTCTTTTGGCATGCTTTCTGCGGAAGACCAAAAAAGAACAAGAATTAATTACGTTACTAAAGATGACATGGCTATCCATGATAGAAATATTTTAAAGAAAGCGAAAAAAAAAGATAAAACCAAGAATCAGGGTCAGTGTGTTATGTCTTGAAATATTACATATAACCTTGACATGATTTTTTATCTGTATCGCTTCTAAAGAAACCCCATTCCTAGTTCTTACTTTTTTAATGTATTTATAATGTCGATTATGTTTATAGTGTTTATAATAAATTATATGATTATAATAATGTAAATATTTTACTTTTAATGTAATTCTATAAAGTTAACTAAAATGACAAATATTTTTTAAATCGCTCTCATTGTTTATTTATTTATTTATTTTTTTAAATAATTACGTTCTAAATAAAAATTATTTAAAATTTTAAAACATACCACTCTTCTAACAATCCCAAGGAAAGTACACAAATGACGTTTATAACAGGATACAGAATATTTTTAATTTATGCAAAATATACAAATTCTTTGTTTTAAAAATCAAGCTTTAATTTGTAAGTTGTTTTTTTTTTTAACAACTATGAGATGTTTAAAAACTCTTGATATAACTAATCTTAAAAAAATGAAATTATTCATCCCACATATAGGATGTTCTCCGAAAAAAGTAATACTTTGAGAAGGTCCTTATAGTATTATAACGTAAAAGAAACAAGCTGACAAGTTTTTTTTCTATATTACGATTTTACAAGGGCTTTCCATTAATTACGTCAACAAAATAGGGGGAGTATAAGTCTGAATTATTTTGACAATTGTTGACAAGGGGAAAGGGGGGAGGTCAAGACAAGTTGACGTCAACAATGTTACTTTTTTAAATAAATTTAATTACTTAAAAAAAAGGAAAACTAAGCAGCGTTTACGGTCCTGTGTTACTGTGTTACTCGCTCAATCTTCAACATTTTAATAAAGCTATTTATATTCCTACTTTTTAAAAACCGTATAGTGCTTTAAAAAGACCCGACACATACAGTCTAAATAAGCACACACAAGATGTTTAAACGTGACACTATTATTTTTTCAAAATTGTTGTTGGTAAGTCTGCTGTGCAAACTGAAAAGATTTATGTAAGTACATGGTTTACATTATATTATTTAAATATTTATACCAGGGGTCGGCGACCTGTGGTTTTCGAGCCTTATGTGGTTCTTTCGATGTCAAGATGCGACTCTTTATCCCCGTGCACAAATGTTAATATAATATTGATGTAAAGGTGTTGGTTATTCTTTAAAAACAGAAAAACTTTGTAAATTGCAACTATTGGCACTTCTGACTCAAATGGTTCCCGATCCCTGGTTTATACAATTTGTTAAATGCATTTTTTGTTATACTAGACTCTATTAGAAATAATTGGCCGTTATTGCGAAATCGGATTTGGTCTAAAGTTAAATTGAGAAGGATTGACACATTGAAGTGTTGTATTAATTTGAAATATATTCATAAGGTTAAAATTGCCAATCTTCGAATGATACCCTTGCTCTTTTAGACAAGGTGTAAAAACGCATTGTAAACATAATTAGATCTGCTCTTGCAGCCAAACTTCAACCGTTGTCACGTCGTCGAAATGATGCTTCTATTTCTCTTTTCTATAAATACTGTAGTGGGCAATAAAGAGCTACTAAAATTCATTCTCTTGTTACTTGTCATTCAATTAAGTCTCATGCTTTTACTATGACTGTTCGTAAATGTTCCACAAATTCCTATTCGTCTAGTTTTTTTCCTCGAACATCAGTTCTTTGGAATTCGCTCCCTCGATATTGTTCGATATCGATCCTGATTCATATAGTTTACAACCTTTTAAATCGTCTGCTAATCGTTATCTTGCTTTACACCTAGACAGATAAAATTCAAATATTTTGGTTGCTTATTTTTCTAATTAGAGGAGTATTTAATTTAATTTGATAATTCGCGAAATATCTTACCTTTTCTTGAAAATACAAGTGTTGCATAGTTGTCTTCAGCTTTAGCTTATAGTTAAAGCATAATTCTTAAAAGAATAAAGTCAAATATTATGGCCTTTATGAAAAGGGATATTATGTACTACAATAAAGATTATAATATAAATTTATATTTGGATAATCAATGTAAAGTGATTTTAAAGAGAATTTTATAGTAATTAAAAATATAAAGTTTTAATGAATAAGTGCAAATATTAATACAAATAGCCCGTCGCTTTGATCATAAAAGATAGAGTAATTCCTAACATAGTGGGGGAAAAAATAAAGCAGCCGCGGCGCAGTGGTTAGAGTTCTGGCTCAGAACCCAGAGGTCCGAGGTTCGACGCCGGCTCTAGCCCAAAAGGCGGCATTGGTACGGAAGGAGGCATGAACTTCCAGTTAAATGCTCTCCCGCGGTGTTCCGTGAATAGACCGTTAGGACTTCTGGGAGCACCTAAAATAACCTTAAAAAAAAATAAAAAATAAACTTCATCTTTTCTCTTTTAGTAACTTCCAACTCTCATAGTGGTTACTTGCAGCTTTGTTGGAAGTAAAGATGTTTAAAAAAAGATGTTGTATTTCCCCAATAAAAAGAAGAAAGTTACAAAAATTAAGCAACACAAATATGTAAATACATAGCATGGGTAAGAAGAAGACAAATTTGGTCTTATCGCCAAATCCCTTTAAATAAAAATTTCAATAATAAAAATACAAAAGTAACGTAACTTCGTTAAATTACATGACATATTACGCTATATAACAGTGTAATATATCCAAAAGTATATATATACTTTTGTATTTGTATATATATACAAATACAAATATAACAGAATTATATATATTTTTTTAATGTTTAAAAAGTTTTAATAAAAGATCTTTTTTTTTTTTTAATTTGTTTTAACTTATTTAAATAAATTGTTAATCAATTTAAAAAAAAGTTAAATAAATGAATAAATTTAATAAAACGTTGTCTACTCGTAATTAAAAACTTTAGAATTCATCATTTATCAAAAGTTTTTACTTTTAAGTTGTTTAAAAGAAGAAATGATTTTTAGCTCATTATTCAAAATCGTATTCCATAGTTAAAGACCTTTATTTGTAGTTGAAAACTTAGTTACAGAATAGTAGATTTTAGGTTGAATGTACAGTATTGGACAAAACATTTACAACCAACATCGAACAATGCTAAAAAGTGTTCCTAATTTTACATGTCTTAAAAACGAAACGTACTATACTACCATAACAAACAGTTCAGGAGTCTGGAGTCATAGCATGCCATGACATTAGCAATCAGCTGACAGGTGACAGCATACAGGCAGAATTTCTTTAACAAGTGCAATTTTGCAGCGGACAAAACAAGTGCAACTTTGCAAAGAAACTTTTCTTCTGGTTTTTTAGTGATTTCACTAAAGAACCAGAAGAAAAGACTTCTGTTTGCTACATCTCATATTGACTGGAATGTGCAGAAATGGGAAACTGTTCTGTTCAGTGATAAATCAAAGTTTAACATTATTGGGAGCGATAGCATTTGCCGTGTACGTCGACCGGTTGGAAAACGCCTCGATTTACGTTACTGCCATAAGACCGTGAAGCTTGGTGGAGGCAATGTAATGGTCTGGGGGTGTTTTTCTGCAACGGTCTGGGTCCAATACATCGAAACGATGGAACAATGGACCATTTCATGTATAAAAATATCCTGAAAGATGTTATGTTACCTCATGCTGAATGGAATATGCCAATAAAATGGGTTATTCAGCAAGACAACAATCCAAAACACACTGCAAAAGTAGTCAAGCAGTGGTTTCAAGACAACCACCTAACGGTGATGAATTGGCCGCCTCAATCTCCGGATATCAACTCTATCGAGAACCTGTGGAAGATCGTCAACCGCAGAATTAATCGTGAAGGTGTTCGTAATAAAGGATCAACTGTTTGAGCAAATCCAAAAGGCCGGGGCAGCGATTTCACAAAGTTTCATTGATCACCTGATCGAATCTATGCCTTGAAGATGCAAGGCTGTGATCAACAACAAAGGATTCACCACGAAATATTGATAGCGAAATACAGCTTGGTCAACATTTTGTGGAGTTGCACTTGTTTTGTCCAGAAGGAAATCAACTTTTTTTTAATACTTTCGATTAATTGATCAAACTTTAGTGTACAAATAATGAACTTTGTGATGAATAAAACTTGAAGAACGTTGTCTCTAAACAGTTACATAGCTATTTCTCTAAATTAAAAAAAGGCAGCACTTCTATATAAAGAAACTAAATTAGCATTATTTGGTTGCACTTGTTTTTTCCGATACTGTAATTGCTTACTGAAAGACGTGTTGAGTATAGATTATTTATTTTTTCAAAAATTTAGTTAAATAAGATGGGTGGTGTTTTTTTATCAACTTTGAACATAAGAATAAGAATATGATTAAAGTTAAGTTGGAATACGTTGAGAATATTAAATTTAATAAATAGAGATTTAGTGAGAAGCGATCTACATTTCCAATATTGTTAAAGCATGCTTTTGTTTGCTAAGCAGTTTATTTATTTTAGTTACGTTAATGCTACACCAGGCAACGTTTGCATAATTTAGGTAGCAATGAATAAAAGAAAAATAAATATATTTCAAAAAGGTTTGGTCTAACAAATGTTTAGCTTTGTATAGTAGACGAATATTTTTTGAAGTTTATTTTGGATTATATTTATGTGCTCCCTCCACGTCACATTTTCATCTAAAACAGCACCTAAAAACAACAATGATCTCTCTCTCTTATGATACAAGAGTTATTAACAAAAAGATCTAGAAATTTTAAAGGAATGAGTTCTTATTCATGAAGACGACGGAAGAGAGTATATTTTGTTTTTTTTATATTTATAAATACAGTTTGCGCCAAACGAATAGCACATGCAATAGTTTAGTAATAAAAATAGGTGCATGAACATAATAAATTTAACACAATGATTAATACATATTTTACACAATTTAACACAAGAAATAAAATGCAAAAAAGAGAAAATATTGTCTTGGTTTTTGTTTAAAACATGTAAAAAACAAAAAATAAATAAATGAAAAATACATCATGTGCACATCATTTCAACAGGTTTTAGAGACGTAGAAACTTAATACTTAATCTTCTTACCTTACTTCATAAAAACCTGAATGCAACGCTTAGGCATCGAGGAAGCGAGCATTTCAAGCAAAGATTTTGTTCCATTCCATCTGGATGGCCATTTTCAGTTCCGTAAGGTCACTGTATTGTTTTCCATTTGCATAGACGTGATGAGACAAGCAACCCCAAATATTTTTAATTGGATTCAAGTTGGGTGACAGCGCTGGATGATCAAACAACTGGATGTCATGCTCCGTTACAAATTCTATCACGGTCTTTGCCGTATGTATCGATGCGTTATCAAGGATAAAGACAAACATATGTCTATAGTTTGCATGCCCATATGGTGTTAAGTTGCCCAGAGTATAATTTAGTCTTCCGCTATTTTTGTCCCTTCTAAGAACTTTAATTCAGATAATCCAGCCTTAGAAAATGCACCCCAAATTATGACACCACCACTT